TGCAACCATTCTGCGAAAGCATGCCCGTGGATGAGAACCCGCTCGCCCTGCTCCTGCGGAGAAGTGACAGTCGTGCCAGTAGTCACGATCATGCAGCAACATCTGTTTTGACAGCTATGCTAGGACGAAACCCCACATGCATGCTCCTTTGCCATCACTTTCAGCTTCCCGAGCAGGTCTTCTTGGAGCTTGTTACCAGAATGTTCTTGAACCACACGGGCTATCGCTTCGACGTGATCAGCTGCAGACATAAGTGCCTGCTCCAACTTGTCCTTGTACACTTCGCAGGAGTTGGGGCAGCAAAGATCGTAGAAGCTGGTGGTGCCATCGCAGTTGGAGGGGCCTAGCATGTAGTTCGGCATGAAGACGAAAGTCTCCCTCCCGGTCTCTTCCAGCGCCCCGAGCTGGCGCAGGTAATCCAGCGATTCGCGGAAGAGATCTCCTGCTCGACACGCTGGTCGGAGCCATGATAAACGCACTCGGCTCAACTGCTGCAACAGAAAGACAACTTTCTCAAAACATCTCAACAGCCACTTGCTGCACTAGCTACACATCGTTGCTTTTCCAGCTGCCATGATCACTACTAGGATCAGCAGTTGCTTTTGTCTTTCAGCTTGCCTATCGCATTCAATCACGAAATCATTTGTATCCCATCCACCACTTGCTGCGATTCTGCATTGCTTCTGCATAGTAATAGTGTGCGTGAGTGCAGAAGCTGCAGCTGCATCTAACTGCATGACATAGGTTGCATGCCAAACGTGACAAACAACTGAGTCGTACTGTCATCTTAACGGGCTCAGAAAAATCTTAACGGGCAGAGTCTGGTGCACTTGGATGTGCAGTCTCCTCCATCGGCAGTCCTGAGCTCAGAGAGTAGGACACGCCCGTGGTCACCTCCTCGCAAAGTCTGGAAAGTTCTTTCCATATCCTGAGCCGAAGAATGTAAACCAAGATCAGATGCCACCGGCAGTATCAGTGCCTTTTTGCAGCCAGGAGTCGTGGCACATGGAACCGGACACCTGTACGCAGAAAACGAGTGCCGAAGAAGCCATGTTCGTGGAACTGCAGCAACGACATGTCACAAGGCTTCTGACATTCCACCTCCTGGAACAACAGCAGAACCATATCGGCCGCTTCAGCAGCATCCTCGAAGGTCAGGCTCTTGCTCTTGAGCAGTGCCCTGTCCACCTTCACGATTTCGAGATGTAAACAATAGTTTTAACAGACTCTGAAAGACGACGCGTTCCCACCTGGTCGTGAATGAAGGAGCGGATCTGAGGCCATCCTGGAACGGCACAACTGCGTTGCCCGCGCGTTGGCGGATACTTAGGCACGTCTCCTCCGTAAATGCGGGAGATGGTGTTGACTTCCTCCAAGGCCTTGGGCAGGGTCAGTGCCTCGGCCAGCGGCGATGTCCGAAAATTCTGCTCCAGCTAACCACGGCTGCAGCATACATGTCCCAAGATTTGATCGGGCTGAAGGGTCTACGAGATCACTGACAGATCTGGATTCCCAACCTCCCAAAGAACAAACCCGCGACCATGTTCAACGGTCAAACTCGGGCGGGTCCCCGAAACCTGCGAGGTCTCGAGGCCTTGCCAGACGAAGGTCCTACGGTGGTTGCAAATTGACCTTTGCAAAGCACGAAACTGAAACGGGTCAACATCTGCCGAGCGACGTATCCGCTGTCCACCTTCTGGCTGACATAGACATAATGCGCCATGAAGACCTGAGCAAGCTTGCAACATTGCAATGCTCTTGCAGGCAGCCTTCGCTAGAGCCCACGTGCTCTCTCTCCGGCCTGCAGAACGCTGAGGAGTCCTCCAAAGAAGGGGAGCAGAGACTGCCATGAGCAAACATCGCTACCAAAGCTGTAGCAAGCTGAACTGCACTCTCCCCCCCTCGAGTCCTTCGCCGGTGGTCGTGCCCTCTGGCTGGAGCTCGTGCACCAGCCATGCTTGCTTCAAGCGTTCCCGCTGGTCTCCATGGATCAAGTGCTCCTCGGAGGATCTGCTTCTTCTGGCTGTACTAAAGCACCCCTCCTGCATAGACAAGGTGCCAAAGTCGCAACGAACACGGCCAGCATGCGCAGATCGAGTCCCTGCTCACCCGCTTTGTTCTCCATGACCTCCCGACACGGGCAGAATGTGACATGGAGCTGTGGTCTCGTACTTAGGTTGCCTTTGGCTTCCCGTCTCCTGTTCGTCTCCTTCCTAAACTCTCCTAAAATCCAGCGCTGGCACCTCCAGGAGATGACCGGCGACACGGCCACGGAGAGCTTCCTTCCACCGTTTCGGCTCACGCGCAGGGCAACCCAATGCCCAAAGCTCTTGAATCTAAACTTTAAAGCCAAAACCTGAATCTGAAAATCACGAAACGAACCTGTCTGGTTCCAGCCTGTGGGGCGAAGCAAAGAGAAAGTCAGCGTTTGCCAGATGTTACGTACGACACAGGAAGGGGTTCGGGTCTTTCGTGCCATCTCATCAAACCATCGCACACTCCTTTTTTGGCTCCTCCACCTCTAACCCGCGCTGGCTCGTTTCGATTGGAACTGGCATGTCGTGTGCCTCGCCTGAGCAACACCTCACATCCGGTCCTGCCCTCACGAGCGGTTGCGGGACCTGATGTCCACGTAGACAGAGAAGCGATATGGTGCTGTTGGATATTTCAGCTCCAAATCCTCGATGTTTCAGAAAACATCTGAGTTCAGTCGTTCAGTCTAGCTTCCACTTCTTTCGTTCGGCAGGAAAAAGCTATCAAATCCATTCACAACACATTGACAAGAATGCTGCGTGCCTCCGGGGGTCCGTGTGATCCTTGATGTCTGCAGTCGCACCGTGTTCTGCTGCAACCCTGTGAAACACATCTTTTGAAACATAGAGGTGTGGAGGTGAAGATCTGGAGACATGGCGCTGCTTTTTCGTCGAGTTCACATGGCTTGATGCCCGCAAATACTCGGCCAGCGGCTTCTTGGATAAATCTGACACTTCCCCCACATAAACGAAATCCTGGGCGATCCTTAACATCTCACTAAAAAGGAATGCGACAGCTTCTTCCGACTCCAGGTAGGTGATCACCCCAAAGGAGACGACGCAGGCGAAAGACCGGGGCTTGAAAAGCATCTTCAGATCTGAAACTCCTGCGACGACGAATGTCCCGTTCACGCGTTGGCGGGCAACTGCGATTGTGTCAGCGGCGGGATCGACTCCGTAGACCTAACAGCAGCTCCCTAAACGCCCCGATGCAGACCTCCGTGATTCTTACGTTTCTCAGACTTCCACAGTATATACTCCCGTATTTTAAGGCTTAAAAGCCCAGTCTCGACCGTGTCAGGATTCTCGTCTGTGAAGGCCCTGATGGCAGCAGCGAAAGCTCCTGCACCCACGCCGACTTCAAGCACGCTGCGACGCAAGGAAGGACGCAGCGGCTCCAGCAGCACCTGAGCTTGTGCCAGCCACTGCTCCCAAGTGAACATCTCGTAGCCGCCGAAATGATGTAGTGGAGCGTTAGCCGCGCTGAGCTGGCGCGCCTTCTTGTTGTAAATTTCAACCCACGAGGCAGATGCGCCAACCTTTGCAAGCTCTCTATGTATGGCCTTGCCTATGTCGAACTGATAAAGCCAGATGCCGTCAGCCCGAATCGAACCCCAACCTCGCACTTCCCCACCAATATCCGCATTGAGAGCAATCCCACTCCCGAGGCCATAGGCATAGGTATGCTCCAGAATTCCAGCTTCCGTAACCAGTTGTCCTCTGCGCGTTGGGGATGAGGCGTAAGCCACTTCCACCTTAGCAAATCGGGGCACGCTGTAAGGACCTGTGCGTTGTTACAAACCCCTGTAGTGCTAGTAGGAACCTTTCTCCACACGGCTAGATGATTAAGAACACGGGCCTTGCCGGAAAGAAACTCTTCTTACGAACGCCCCCGGGGCCACAACTTCGGGCCTTCGGGCACCAACTGAAACGCGATCTGGAAAACATCAAAACAACCGAGCCGGGCCTGTTTTCCGCCAAGGAAGATGCGTGGGAAGCGTGGGCGATATCCCGTGGCACAAACAACGGGGCTCCTCAGCTTCGGTATGCAGTAAAGGCAAGGTAAGTGCAGCACAGAATCTGACGTCCTAGGTCTGCTCTCTTTGCTCCCAACCCAGTGTAGCCGGTCCTGGAAAGCAGCCCGCAAAGCTCCGAAGAGCTAAATTCGTCACGGCCGTCCGTGAAGTATCGCCTCACTTTACTGGCTCCACTGCGTTCGGGTAAGGCTTTTGGGGTTAGGGTGTTAACTCCGACGTGAGTGCCACGCCGCCGTGGAAATATGACATGCGCATGGACATGATCCCCAAGCTCATGGCTATCAATTTCTATGTGCTGTTGCGGCTGTTGAAAACGTCTGTGGATTTCCAGCTTCAGGTTGTTTTGCTGCCGTCACTTCCGAGCACCCTTCAAACTTCGCGATGCCATTGCTGGGAATCGGGGTCTGCGTCCGTGGCGGGTTGAAAGATGTTCAAAGTGCCGGTGGTTGCGGATTGTTGGACTGGAGCACATACTGCAGCACGATGCTATGATTGCTGGTTTGCCCATTGCGGCCGAGGCTCACAACCGGATCTGTTGGCTGCCGGCGCAAACCACGCGTCATAGCATAGTCTCGGATGTCTCCTCTGAGACCAGAGAACCGATTGACGCGTCCAGTGATCGGACAAACATCGCGGAACGAGTCGAAGCTGGCATTTGCCGACTGGGCTTCCGCAGCAGAGTAGAAGAAATATTTGGGCGCTGTTCTTTGTACCAGGGTCACATTCGTGGGTGATTGGCGGGCCCGCAGTAGGTGCAGTATGGCCCAAGCTGTGTGGGAGCTACCCACAATGACCAGATCATCATGGCCGGCCAAAAATTGCAGGGCATCATAGCCACTGAAGAGATGCTTGAACCCACAATGTGACAATGTCAACTGGGACTTTCCAAGCGGTGCCTGTTGACAATGTTGCAGATCTTCTGTTGCCCCCATCGTCAAAATAACATGCTCACCTTGAAGCCGTTCCTTGCGCCCTGCCTGTTCGTACACGACTGTTTGGGTCAGGTCGCTCACATGCAGGTCAAGCACACTTGCTCCCAGAACGACTTGGCTAGCCGGGAAGCCGCGGAAGATCTGTTGCAACTCCTGGGCCATCAAGCGAAGGAAAGCCCCGACCTTCTTGAGCTCAACCTCCTTCGAGACGTTGAGCTCCTGGACCAAGGGACTGCGAAGGGTTGCTGGGAAGAGCCGGGCGACATTCTCACTGTTCAGGATGTCCACAAAAGCAGAGCCGAAGGAGTTGCTGTTGATAGGCAACTCGAAGGATGGACCGGCGCCAAGGTGGTCCTCATTTGGGAGACTATTGCCGCTTCCTAACAGGCTAAGCAAGGCTAAGCAGGCTCAGACTTTGGGAACTTTTGAGACGTTCCTCCTTCTCGAGGATTACGACGCCTTTTCGAAGGAGGACCTCCAGCTCACCCACGCTGGCAGCATAGTAGAGAGGCCCCAATCCTGCCGGACCACCTCCGACGATCACCAGGTGAAAACTTTCCCGGCTGCCTTCCCACGGAACCCAAGCTGGTCCCGCAGACACCTGTCCATTTTCAATCAACCCCGACACCCCAAACAAGTCGCAGTTTCGTGGTGCGACGCCCACCTGCGGCAAGGATCGATCCTCCCACGCCCAGCGCTTGTTTGGATGATCGCCGTAGCAAACCAGAGACTGCAGCCGCGCCCCAGAAGCGATGAGAGTCTTGGCTGGCTTGACATATTGAAACCCGGGCAAAGCTTAGGATTTGATTGAAGGGGCCTTAATCGTCCACTATGGGGGTCGCCTGCAAGGCTTGTGCCTTCATTAGCATGGCGTAACACCTCGCACACCCTAGGCTGCCTAGAAGTGGGCTGTGGTGTTTGATTGCGACCGAAACCAAAGAGCTTTTGTCATGATCTGGGAACTACCAGGCCCTCGCAAGACACGGATCGTCGGCTGCATCGTGCTGTGGCCAGAACAAGCTCGCCAACGGCCTGACGAATCTGTTTTACATTTTCTCGCGAGGCCCAGGAAAGGAGGTATTTTTCTTGCTCTGTGTTTTCACTCCGCTCCCTCAAGAAGTTTCGATCACCCACTGTGGCACAACCCGTGTGAAGAAGCTTCATTCACTCACGTGCGCAGGATCGTGCATGCATGCCTGCCAACGGCCTGCTACCCACTGCCCCAATGACTCGTATGCAAGCGCATGCAGCGAACTTGCTTAAGTTAGCAGGGAGCTTGTCTCTTCGGCTGAGCTGAGCACTCAGCGGTTCGTCACAACAGGTGCTGTCACAGCCTAATTAGCTCGAGAGTCTATGGGGTATGTATGAACAAGGGTCGGGTGAGTTAAATGGAAAGTGACCGATCGAGTGAGCCGGTGATTGAATGCAGCCACTTGTGTGAGTATGTGATTCCATGAACACGACTCAGACACCCGCGCATGACCATGACACCATCATGGAAACATACGAGGTCATGTGAATTTCTCCAGCACCGCATTGAGGATGGCCTCCAGAGGGTTGGAGACAAGGTTTTGACAATGCCATCTGTTGCCCAATTCAGTTGTGACTGCTCCGTAAATGGAAGTCCACTGATCCTCCGACACATTCGTATACTGGACAACTGAAGCGACCTCAGCACATGGAATCCTGAGGTACGGATCCTCGCCGTTCCAGGGTGCTAGGCGTCGGTTAGCTTCATCTGCATGCCCTTCCTCACGAAGACACTCAGTAAACCACTTCGCCCCATACAGCAGCTCCAGGTACTCTGATGGTTTGTTGAAGGTCCAAAGCACCAGGCCGTCTGCGGAGTCTGGTCTTTTCCAATATCGCTTCCGACGTGGAAAAATCATAGAATCAGAATACAGTGGGCCACTTCTGCGAGAATATCCGCGCCTGGATAGGGGCACACCGACAGTTGAGCATTTCAAACCGCGACAAGAGAGGAAAGAGCTCGCTTAGCTGAAAAGATCGGTCTACAATCTACAGAAGGCACAGCCGTGCAGCATTCTAAGGCTCGGACCAGTGGGTCGCATTTTCCCTGGAACAAATATAAAAATCAAAATTAGGATAACTCCACAGGCGATCGCCGGCTGCAGCGTGTGAGATTCGGAAAGTTCTCGCTTTCTTTGCCTGTATGTGCAGGGCCACGCCACGTCGCGACAAGAAATCCGCCGTTCGGTCGACAGCTTCCAGGCGATCCAACAGCATCGATGTTTGTGCATGGTTAATGGTCTCCTCTTCGCTCCAGTCGGAAGCTTCAACCAAGGATGCAACGTCTGGTTTCGCAAGCTCCAATCGGGACTCAAGCCGCATGGCCAGCGCCAGCAATAAAATCTCAACGCCCCGATCATCCTCCTCCACAATCGCCATCTCCGCATCGTCGTCCCAAGGGATGATTGACAGGTGTCTCATCGATCCCAACAGACCCCCACCATTGAGAACATAGGCGATGCCCAACATCTCACAGACAGAATGTGCGACATCCATGAGGTCTAGAAGCTGGTTTTGTTGATCGCGCCTTAAGGCGGTCGAGTAGTTACTCAGCAGGCCACTCTCGGCCTTCTCCCAAACTTGAAATGGAGTCTCGGCCCTGAAGGCCAGGGTTCGCATCACATCGTACCTGCCTGCCATGAAGGAATAGACCGAGTTTTTGAAGGGAGTCGGCCGCCGACAAGCCGACCACCACAGGATCATGAACGTGAAGCGTTCCACGTACTCGACGGTTGCGGACTTCGATGCCAGAAGCGCGGCAGGCAAGGCCTGCCCAACGCACAGATCGACTACAGCATTATGTTCGTCATATGTTGACAGCTTCTTGAGGAGACCATAAGCGATCGTGCCAGGCGCACGGTTCACAAGCTCAACCGGGAGACTGCATTGCCTCACGAAGGGCTCGAAGTGTTCGGCCACGCGATATAGCAGCAGATTCAGCGGCCAGACTCCGCAGGTCTCGCCCCAAAGACTCATAACCATGCAAATCTCCAGAGGTGGATAGAATGTACGGCTCTTTCCTGCAGAGGCTTTCAACACCTGGGTCGGCCATTGGGGCAGAGTTTGAAACACGATGCTAGCCCCGACCCCGCACCAGCAGTCATGTGCCACAGGGTGGTCTTCTGTCGCAAAACTGATCTCTGCGGTGAAGTTGGTGACATCTTCCCACGCGGCCATGAAGCTTTCACGTCTGGCTTCATCGAGCGTCGAGACGCGCTTGTGATATGCCTGGAACCTGCTTCCTGGCTCATGGGCCGCCTCCAGCAAGAACATCATTCTTTGGTGGATCTCCTTCCATCGCTGTCCATTGTCGCTGCCCAGACATGAGTTTGCAACGTAGCCCCCATTCCATGGCCAGAGAAGACTGTCAACAGGCCCAGCTAGCCTACTCAATGTCACCAGCAACAGTCGCAGCACCTGCGACATGGCGGCAAGGCCTGAGCCGCTGAAAGCTGTGAAACGGATTCAACTTAACTTACACTTCCCTTCTTCTCTGCACAGCCCTGCGCCTCTCCTCAGAGTCTCTATAGGGCCATAGAGAGCCCCTCTTGTCTCTATATGTCTCCTTGTCATCCGGCGGCTTGCGGCCGTCACCCGCAGGGTTCAGGCCACGCACATACCAGGCCTCAGGTCCGGAACCCTCGGAAGGAGATGGGAGATTCCGAAAATTTAGGGTACCTTATTATAATTATTTTGGAGTCCTTGTAATAGGGATCCTACTGTTTTGGCTACTATATTAGGGTCCCCTATTTTCGGAAACCCCCAGATCTTTCAAGGAACTTCCACCTGCAGTTCTGCACCCAACAAAAGGGCAGCAGCTCTCTCTTGGGCACTGGCATGTTGGCGTAAGAAATGTTGATGAAGCCTGACAGAGAACTGAGAAGAGGGGCGATCACCATGGGCCCTTGATAGTAAGTTCCACCAAGAGCCCGGCAGATACCTGGCCGCTGAATATCCAAGGCCCTCCCTGGAGCCCTCGGCTTGCTGTAACGTGGCGTAGATCGGCTTCAGCTCCTGCACTTCCGAAGCACTGAACCCTTCATGTCACATCTTGCTACATCAGCTACATCTCAAGCTAAGTCGCATTCAACATCTGTCACATACACACCCACACACACACAAACAACACGCCATGTGTATATTCAACCAGGCCTACCATACGGTTTGTGCATGTATAGGTGCGCATCCGTCCATCCATGTACTACTTGCTTGTCGCGGCTCTCGCAAGTTTCCGGCGTGATGGGCAACTTGGTGGCCACACTAGCTGCCACGCAATCGTGATCTGCATGATTGCTTTGGGTTTCGTTGTAGTCAACCACAGGACGGGACGAGGCGACGGCGTCAACGCAATGATCCGTGTGGCCGTCATGCGTCTGCACAGGATAACCGCACCAAAGCGAAGCCTAATTCCATCCGCCTAGGGGAACGAACACCTGCCCTGCTGCCCGAGTTTGCACAGCCAGGGCGGGTAGGGAATCTAATTACGACAAACACAAACGCAGCAGTGCTTGGCTGCATGCTGGAGCAAACACCACGTATAGGTGTTAAGCTTGGAGAAAGGGCCGGTGCTCCTGCCTACCAACCGCGAACACAACAGGCACCCCACACGGAAGGAGGGGAGACAAACAAGCCGACAGAAAAAGAGCAAAACCCTAGGCACACAGAAACCAGGGGAGACCACCACAGGCCCTACCACAAAGGGGGGGACCGGGGAGGGGGGCGACCATGGGGCAGGGACGGGGGACAGCAGCCCTGCATCATGTGTGTGTGTGTGTGTGTGTCTGTATGCATGCATGCATGCATGCATGCATGCATGCATGCATGCATGCATGGATGGATGGATGTATGTATGTATGTATGTATGTATGCATGTATGTATGTATGCATGCATACGTTGTACACATATGTTTATATATATATATGTGTGTGTGTATGATATATGATATATGATATATAACATATGATATAATATATATATATATACATACATATGCATTGGTGAAATCTCCAGAGTGTTGTCAGATGTTGTCAGCCACCGCCAAGATCGAGGAGAGGTCACACATACGGACTGGTAACTGAAGGAGAGTTACTCTGGCACTGACTTCCGGTTTCCTTTTCTACTTTTGTACGAGGCATACAACTGTTGCAGCCAGGCTGCCTTCTCAAGCCTTTGCAGCTGTGTGGCGTTGATTCCTTAGCTTCTTTCGGGCATGAAGATGCATCAAGCATGTTAGCACGGCTCTGCGATGTTCACTACGTGTTCGGCACTTGGGTCTCAGGACTGTTCATGGTAAAGCCTGAAGTCTAGGCGCTGTTCCCCCGCCCACGTCAAATCCCAGGATGGGGTCTTAACAGATCGCTGCTTGGTAGCTACTGTATTGTTACATTTTCGATTGAATAATGCAGAAAGCCAAAGCAGACGCTGGCGGGGATAAGCAAGGATGTTGATGTTGAAACCAGGAAGCCGCAGAGAGTTCGTGTTCATCTGTCTGCATTGCAAAACAACAGCACGACCAAATTCAGCATGCTGCAACACAGCTCAGATTTCTTAATTGCATGATGTGTTCTCAGGCGCTACATGGCTCATACTGCAACCTCTACATTTGAAAGATTTGCAAGGAATTGTCTCGGCCAAGCAGGTTCGGGGAATGCCCAAGAGCAAGCATGAGCGACGTGGCTAGGCCACGCTTGAAATTCTGCCGCCTAGTTGCCAGCGTGGCTCCCAGCAAGGGCTGATTCGATTTCTGCAATAAGCGCTCGCTCGAGCCTGGCAGCCAGCAACCGCGCTGCGCTGCTGTACACATCTTCCTCAAGGTATCGATTTGTGATAGCTTAAAGCACACCGGCCTGTCTCTGCTTTCCTGCTTGTCGCAGTCCGCCTGACACGATTCGCCGAAGCCGGAATGCAGCGACTGAATCAGAACCAACCAGTTACTATCACAAAGCTACCCATGCACGGCAGCAAGTGCAGTTGCACCGACCTGCAGGTGCAATTCCGCTCTCACACTCGGACTCCGCCAGGCGAGGTGCAAATAGGGGTTCCGATGGTTCCGGAGTTCCGGTTCATGACTCCACAGCCACCGAGAAATTGTCCCCCCCTCTGCCTGCTTAGCCAGAAGCGTAGGCGCCGACCTCGCCAAAGAGGCTAGCGCGCAAACGCCCGGCGTAATTCCTGCTGCAGTGGAAGCATAAAGCTGAGCGATTCGGTTTCACTGCACCGGGACCACATCATGCTGTTTTCTACGTGGGAGGATCCCTCTCTCCCTTCGTGCTCGGCGCGGCGAATGATCCAGAAACCATGCGCTAACCACCCAGGAGCACGGCAATCACGAAGTATCATGGCCATGAAGTCCTTCAGCTGAACAGGACTCATCATCATCACTGTATTTCTGACCTTTGCAAGCACGGATTCTTCCGCAAGGTCTGCTGTATTGTGCCAGAATCTCTACAGACTGAGCGGTCTACCCAGAACGGCAGTCGCGAAAGAACCCGACGACGGCTCCGGGCCCCTGCTGGGCCCGGCCTCGCAGAGACTTTCTGAGATTGTGTGAGTCGTGAGCAAAGCTCCATATCTTTGTAAGATGCGCGCGCCATCTTCGTCAAGGAACTGCACAGTTGGCTTCGCCCCTCTCAACCTTCATGCCCGGTCTGTGTTGCAGATCTTCGTAGGTCATTTGTCGGTTCTGCAGCGCCTTGACTGCATCATGGAGTAAGCCCTCACAGGGTCGGCCGCAGTCAGGTAAAGATGGCATGCCTCGGTCGCGGCATGCATGTTCCTGTGGGTGCGTTGCATGCGTTTACTGGTCAAAGCATGCCTGGCGGGAGCTTTGCTATGCTTCGGCTGCCGAGAAGCAATGAGAAGAGATGCACGCATGGCCTGAGTTCTGAGATTCTTGCATGAGCCTTTTCATCTTGCAGGCTACTGCCGTGCAGTCGGCTTGGGATCCACGCTGCGTACAAGTAGTACCTGGTTGATCTAGCGGGTGATCCACCCGTCACCTCACGCGGAGATTTGCGTTGAGGCCATGTACGGTGCCCTTGCACTGGGCCTTGAGCCAATGACTGCAGATATTTCGGGAGTCGTGGCGTGGGCAAACTGGAGTAGACCTAATACACGCATCCGACTGCATCCAGTCCAGTAGCTATGCCGGGCAACTTGCAACTTTTCAGAAACAATTTGGCAAGAAGCTACCTATTCGTCGTGGTGAAATCAAAAGAGCTGCTGTTTCAGCAACATCAAGCTTTTGCTATCTAGAGACCAATGAATTCAATGCACGGCCGTGCAACTTCGTTGTCTGCGAGCCATTAACCCACCATCGCTTCCAACAATTATTGTGATGACTATCATGCAGAATAACACTACAGTAGTCGGCTATGCTCCGGCACTTTCAGGTAGTAAGTTCGTTTTGGGGATCACTCATCATGTTCACAGAACTACAGGACAGTGGTCTTCATGCAGGTGCCCACCTTGTTTTTACGGGCTGAACTACTCGATGTACATCTCGTCACACGTTGAGAGGCTCACCTTTTCAAGAAGCGACGTTTACCCCCGCCACGGTAACGAATTCAAGAACTCACAGCTTATGCCGAGATGCGAAGGCTTGCGATGATGCGGGTGCATGTGGATTGAACCAATGAAGTCCAGGACTGCTGGCTGCCTTTCCCAGCAGCTCTCTCTCCCTTCTTTTCTCTCCCTGGTCTGCCACCCTTCGGCACTGACTAGAGCCCTCTCCCTTGCTCCACGCCCGCGTGCGACGTCAGGCAGACGGCTGCTCATGAAAACAAGCAAAGACTAGCAACTACGAGCATCATATATGGAGAAAGAGGGAGCCAGGGCGCCTGGCCCCAGGGCCCTGGGCCGGCCAGGTGGGAGGCTCGAGACTCCCCGGCGGCCGCCAATTGAGAGCAAACGCTTCTGAAAGGGACCCTCGATGATCTGACCTTGGCTGCGCAAAATGCACAGAAGCTCCGGACCAGTGATCGCTTTTGCGGAACGATCAAGCCGCCCGTGTCCGAAGACATCCCTCAACCAACTTCGCTGCACAGCGAAGAGGCTTTTTGAACGAGCTACCTGAACACATGCAGAAGAGTTGCAAAGCAGGTCAACATCCAAAAGGGCCGCATGCTTCATCACCTCGAGAAGCTGTAGGCACGGTTTCATGTCGTCGTTTCTACTCGATCCGATACTGAGGCTGGCTTCGTACACAAGATGACTTCCAGCTTGCAAAAGCAGCCCACCTGTGTCTTGACTTCGGCAGGCACGGCAACCTTGACAACAGGAGAAAAGCTCATGGCACCTTTGGTGCTCTGTCCCATGCTTTGCCAGCCCCTCCAACACTGATCAAAGTTACGAGATGCTCTGCTTCATTATGCTGTTTGCTGGCCTGCTTGGTGTGCTCCAAGGCGAGGGCGAAAGCCTGCGTCAGAGCACACCGGGAGACATAAAGACTACTTCACTTCGTTGTGATCTGCTGCCCCAGGCACGAGTGACCGCTCCAGGACTTGCTTGGACGTGATGTCGCTGTCCTCGCGGTGGGCTCGACGGGGCAATGACCCCAATGCTCTCTCTTAGGCTAAGCATGCTTGGATCAGCGAGTCCTTGGACCAGATACTCGCCTCTGCCAGAGCAGCGTGCAATATCTGGCCGACAAGATCGAAGACACCTCGGAGTTTGATCCGCCCTTAGTTAATCTAAGTTTAATCTGTGTGGAATGTTGACAACACGGCCAAAACGATGCAACGTTCCACCATGCGACCGGTTCGAGACAGGAAGCTAGCTTGCGGAATTCGAACTCAAGGATTCCAAGGGGATGACAAGGGAATACTTTAGCACGGTATTCTAAATACTAATATACAAGAACATGGTATGAGAAGGTGGTACTGTAAGGGGTGCTTTTTTCTGCCATAGCTTGGGAAAGCGAAGTCTGCAACATTGCGATGTGTATACATGATATACCATTATACATATATATATATATGCTATATATCGCTGATTATCGCATGGCCTTTGGCCTAGGCACCGCCTTTGTGCTCGGGCTCGACGCCCTTGAGCATGCCACCTGAGCTAGGCTTCAGCTTCTCTAGCCGGAGCCTCGATCCAAAGACTTCCGCAACTACATATAGCGATGTGGGACTGCAATTAACAGCAAAGTTCGGAGTTGAAGGAGATTCTGGCTTTGCAGGTGCCCTGGAGGGATTGTGGCACCCCAGTGCCACTGCTGGAACCGCGTGATCCTAGACCTCTATAGCCGTCCAAGTGCGGTCGTGCTGGATCGAGGTTCGCCTCGGCAAGAGGGCCAAGTCTGGCAGCTCTTTGGCAGAAGTGTCGCATTATTGAACTACCAGCCCTAGAGTTCTTTTGAGTTGTGCTCACGCCACTGTCTACTGTGAGCCTATACATGTTGGTTCCGATAATGCGGGCGCTGATGATCTCCTGTTCAGCTTCGAGCAGGGCGACCGATGCTTTCTGCTGCTTCAAACTGCGCAGGATCCTCCATTCCGAAAGAGCAAGCATAAACCTCTTGAAACCCGACACGAAGCAAGACCAAGATTCAAGACAGAGAGAACGGTCGCATGGCTCGCAATAAGGCCCCTGTCTGCGTGCCAAGATGCAGCTTGGACTGCAACTCGAGAACTTCCTTGTTCAGGCTCCTTGGGTTGATGATGGTTGGTGTCTACATGCCGTGACCTGAAGTCGTTTGCAGCAGCTCCCCATCGGCTCTCGTCCTCGCTTCCTTCCCCGAGGCCAAATTCGGACTCTTGCCAGACCCGCTCGTCAAGCCTCAAACCGCCAAGGCTGCCAAGGCTCTCCAGCCATCTGAGGTTGCGCACGAGCAGCTTCGCCTGCGCACTAGAATCACGGATCTAGAAGAAAAAGAGCGGTGCCATGCGGTGCCTGCTTCGGTTTGCCGTCTTTGTCCTCGTCTCCCTCCTCCTGCTCCTGATCCTGATCCTCCTCTTCATCTTCCGAGTTCACGGTGTTGGCCTCTCTGCCAGGACCCGCGTGGGCCTTGGGACTGAAGACCTGGCTAAGGCCAGCCCCTTCGGCCCCCTCCCCAGGCTCCTTGGGAAAGGATGCCGACGCCGACGGCGCCGGCTCTCCTACCGTAGTCTCCACCACATCACTCTTCTGAGCCTTTTCTCGTCGACATTCCTGGTCCAGCATCGCCAAGCTGCAACCCAGCTCGAGCACGCTGTTTGCTATGCAGATGGCTTTGTCTGCTCCACAGCGAATGACTGTTGCTGTTCTGGCCGTGCTTTCGCTTAGAACCCGAATGGCTGAAGCTTGATCGATGGAGCACTCTGGGTTTTCCAACATGCCCACCATGTTCTCGTCATTGACCGCCATGTCGTCGAGATGGTCTGCAGTCATCCCGCAGGAGAGTCCTGTGGTCTTCACTACCTCCCCTCGCTCCTGCAAGCCGACACCCGACATGATGCTGGCGGCCCACTGGCCGTACTCTTCCAAGGCCTGCGCCGCACACTCCGCCACGTAACAGCTGCTCACGCGCAGAATCCGCATGTTCGTGCTGCAGTCGCGGAGTCGCAGAGCTCCCTGACGAGTTATGGCCATCAGCTCCCGGAGCGCGGCCCGCTTCTGAAGGCCACGGGCCTCTGCCGCGAGGGCGCAGAGATCAAAGGAGCGACAGGCCAGTAGCGAGATCTCCTCAGCAGCGTCCTTGGCCTGCTCTGCATAGAAGACTGCATCCTTCGTAAACTTGTGCAATGGCGTGGATGAAGATCCGGCTTCAGCCCCTCCGCTGCCCTTTGGCTGAATATCCGACTTGCTCCGCTTGAGGACGGCAGCATAGGCCTCAAAGGCGCATACAAAGCAAACTAGATGTTGAAACGTGTCAGGTGATCCAACGCTCAAACGCTCCCTGCTCCGTCGCCTCCTGGATTTCCTGAAAGCGCTCTTTGTTGTCGATGCCGGCCTTCGGCAAGATTGACAAAACCCTTGCACGGCATGGCACGACAGTCCCAAATGACCGGCATGTGCAATGTGTTCAAAGGCCTTGTCCGGATGCTCTTTGAGCGCCAAGGCACCTCGGTTCCGCGGTCTTGCATGTCCGAATATGTATCGGGAAAGCCACATATATAATCATTCCAGATTCTCGCATATCGCAGTGGCATGAGCCAGCATAGGCTGGGGGTGATGATCGTGCACAAGCTC